GGTTAGTCTATCTTTGGATGTTGGTGCGATTGAACTTTTTTATACTTGTGGGATAAACTTTTTAAAATTGAACTACGTACAATACAAATTTTTAATTCAAAGTTAAACTTCGTCTAATTCAACTTAACTCTTATTAATATTATTATAGGAAAAAAGTGATTGAATTGTTGATTTCAAGTTTGATATGATCTTGCATAGAAATGTTAAACGAAACAAGCCCTCATGAGCAGGACTCGTGAAAATTGGAGTTTGGCTAGATTCGTAAAGTAAACTTTATTTGTGAACAAGCAATTTATACTCGCACACAATGACACAACTCTTTCAAATTCGAATTGTCTCATGTATTAATTGAACAGAGGTATTCGGAACAGCTCAACTCAAATTAGGCTCATAATAGGACCTATAAAAGAAATTATCGTGGATCAGCGCTCATGAAAATTCGAACGAAAAAATCTTATTTTATGAATTTCAATAGAATTCTGAGACCTTAGAAGGTTAGGTTACTGTGGTAGGTTCGACTAACCGTGGTAGAGTATTTGAAAATGGCGTAAGGGAGCCTCGATTGACGCGTGCGATGTTGGCTGCAGTTTTGGAGTTGGTTACTGGTAGACGCCACCTGCACAGCGCAGGTTGCTGCTAGCCTTTGCCACGTGTCAATATTTATACAGTGGGCCCTCCCTCACCTAATCAGAATCGGCGCGTGGGTTTTATCTTTAGGCTCCAAGTCGGCGCTGTTATTACATACGGTGGGTGTAGCTACAAAGAGTCGCTGCCGAGTGGTGATATTATTATGTACCCAGTAAAATTTTGTTTTCAGGCTCCTTTTCGTTTGGGTAATGACAAATTATTCCTTTGAATCAAATTATTCTCTTCTATTTAAACTATATTCGATTAAAAATTATATAAAAATTTTCTTTTCGAGTTTTATCCAACCAAATTGTTGTAATTTCAACAAAATTTTGTTGTAGTGTATTAATTGGTGATATTTTTTCTTGTGGATCATAAATTTATGTGCTTCGATTTTTATTTATTTATTTGATATTTTTTTTCAAATTTATTCAAGCTCATCCACTGTTGTTATTCGTTCGTTGGTCGGACACTCTGTTCCTGCACGCGGCCACTCATGAAATAGGTGAGATTTGTAAGGTGAAAGTGGAAGAGGCAAGTCGTGTTACGGCGTCAAATCAAAAGAGCACTCAACGGAAGTCGTTGGTCACAATACTCCGACTTTAATTAAATTGTTAATATTTTTCATGGGTGCGATAGCGTTTTCATGGAAAACTTGACACACCGCACTAGACAACTATTAAAGTCGCTAGTCTTATCACGTCCTGTCCAAATCCCTCATCAATTCATTTGTTTCAACTTACTCGGCGTTTCATTTTCTACAACAATATAATTATATGAGGGAAGTGTCTTAAAATGAACCATATCTTAAAATCTTAATCTTTCTTTTACTATTCCATTTTTGTCCAGTTATATTTTATATGCTCAACACACATTCATTATCCCAGATTTCATGAAGTATTAATTAGAATCAGTTGGTCGTGAACTTAATAGACCAAAATTAGAAAATGGCGACTTGGTGAAAATTAGTGTATAAATTAGTGTGTAAAAACTGAGAAAAGTCGCGACTTGGTGAACCACTATTATGAGTGATAAATTAGAGTATGGATTTCGAACAGTAATCAACTTGAGTGACTGGTACGCAGTTATAATCAATCAAAAATTTTTATTTATTTTAATTTAAAATTTTGCTCAAATTTAACTCAATTTAATCATCATCAATATTACCAATATAATTAAATAATATCAATCATCTTTCTCCTACATCATATCAATTTTAATTTATTATTCATTCACATATTTTTAGAGAAATGATATAGGTACATAATATTATACGTAGGGGTGTACATAGCACTCACATTGAGTAGGAGCTATCAAAAAAAAAAAATTGCTATAGGTACATAATAGTGTACATAGATTTGTACATAAAACTCATATTAAGTGAGTCCTACCAAAAATAAAAAATTAAGTAGACCACACTTCATGTGAGTGTTATGTACATCTCTATATACATTTATTATGTACTTGTAGCATTTTTCAAATAAAAAATTAAGTGGACTCCGCTCCATGTGAGTGTTATGTATATTTATTATGTACTTGTAGCATTTTTCATATTTTTAACTATCTATCACTTTTAATTATCTCTCATATTTTTACGTCACATCAACTTTAATCATTAAATTTTAAATATTATTTAATTACAATTTCTTTCATTCAACTCAATCAACTTTATTCAAGATAATTCAATTTCACTCATGATCAATCAAAATCAATTTTTATTGGCTTGACTGCTTATCAATTACCCAATAGTTTTTT